TCACGCAGAACATTGACCATTTATAACAAAAACATTACTGCAGGGGTTCGCCTACACTATTGGACTGTAACATATGTATTATTATCAAGCTTGATTAATCGGATGTATTGACTGGCAACAGGGGGTCAATCTCCCCTTGCCGTAACCTGGGGAGTTATGGTTGTTGTATAACGGCCCAAAAAGTGTTTTTTCATTGCAGGGGGGGGCGCTATAGGCGGGGGAAAAGTTGCGACAATTCCAAGGCCCATAACTGACAGGGGCGGGGCCCCAAAAAGATAGGGGTAAAAAACTTAATATAAACATTATGAAACCATCATCATTCCAGGTACGTTATATTATTTCATAAATTATTAATAATAAGAATCAATGTGATTCTCATTGTTTATTAGCCTGTTTTTGCCAGTAAAAGTAAATATCCCATTGACCAAAAAGTAAAACATCCATATTGGGCCGACCACCCCCCTGTATCTGCATGAATGCGTTTGGTTCCTGCCTTAGCGGCACACAGTGGACGTGTTTAGTTTCAGGGGTCAGGGGTAGATGCGCCATCGCGGCCAGAATACAGCGATCACAATGTCTAACTAGTAAATCAAAATCTGGTTTTTTCAAAAAAGGGAGAGAAAAGACGAGAGGAGACACAGGACAAGGAAAGGATGTCCAAAATCTGTAACCCAGTTTTTCACTCCAAGAAACGGTGCTGTAGCCTTAGGTCTGTGAGTGCTATTAACCATTAAATCATTGGTCCCTGGGGCCCCTGGTTTAGCAGACTGTATACAACAGGATGGTCAGCAGCAGGGCCCCAGTCTCCCATCACTGTACCCCTCCCTGTGCCCAGTGAAGAAGTTGCATTCATTGCAGGAGTCTGGTGGGGGATTTCTTCGTCTCTCTTGCTCTTTTTACCTTACAAAAAAGAAAAAGAAATATTTGATTTAATGGGACAGAAATTCAAAACATTAATAACAAGTTATTTTTCTCACATAATGATCATGATAAAGATTAAAATAAAAACAACAACCTACAGTTCTTACTATGCTCGGCAGTTTGGAAACAGGTGGGGTAGCTTACCTGAGCAGCATGTGAAATACAGGAACAATATGTAAAATAATCCAGTTTTGATACGGTTCCATTTAGGATTGCATACCGTATGGCAATGGACCATCTAATAGATACAGACGTCTAATTAGAGGTTGATGTAAAGGCTTATTGACTGGACAGTTAGCGTCCTATTTAGGATGTTGTGACAACAGCTGCGCACAGAGGGGGCCCAATTAGATTTTTTTGTCATGGCCCCAAAATTCCTGGCAGCGCCCCTGTTTCCAGGACATTATTATTATGGTGTAAAAGTTTTGACCATGTTGCGTTGGCCTTTTGACCTTTTGGGTCAAATTTCCTGAGAAAGCGCATTCACAAGAATAGGACAGACGAACGGACAACCCAAAAACGTAAAAAGATCCATAAGATATGTGAATGGATACGTGACAACGTAAAGTGTGTATGGAAAATTAGTAGTAAGGGAAGTGAATAGCTTAAACATTGAGAGCCAAAACTATATATATGTATATATATATATATATATATATAAACAATTATATACCAATACTATGGTTTTCCTGGGGAAAAGATTACTCCATTCTCTATCAACATTTCTTGTGTTCTATATCCATTGTAAACCAATAATTCACATTGTTTTTCATGTGGACAGCATTTCCCAAGAACGTGTTCTTCATTGAGTGATAGTAAGAGACTGAACTCTGGACATTACTTTCACATATCCTGCAAAACAGTGACACACACCATTACCGGTATTAAATGAATTTCTCTGGGTTTGAACATTGTTGGAAACATTCGGGATAAAACTCAATACCATATAGAACATAGCTCTAGAGGTTATACACTGTTTAATGAGGAAATATTACAGATTATAGATTTAAAGTTCAGTGATAACTTTATTTCCTTGAAAGGTCATAGATCTTTAATATGTTTAATTGTCCTTGAGAGTGGACAGTGGGGACTCTGACTTGTGATTTCCTCATGTTTACTGTATCAGTTCACAGTAATGAGCCCCAGTGGACCTCCTCTCTTCATCAACAGCAGCTATTTCCATCTGTAACACAACAAGGCCAGACCCCAGAGGTGTCTGTGTGGACACTTGGACACTCTGGAGGCTCTAACCAGCTTCACTATCAGGCCAATTAGCACACAGGGAATCATGGGAGGTCACTTTCTGTCGTGATGGTTACTGAACAGAGAAGCTTCAGTCCTTTGCTTCTGGTGTTTATGCTCCACACGAAAGACAGTAATGTTTAGTTTGGTAGTTTCTCCCACAGGGGTTTGGCAGCAGCCACCAAACAAATGTTTTACTTGGAGATTAAAGTAAGAAAGTAAGGAGAATGGCTCTCACAGGAAACTCAGAAATTTAGGGTTTTAAGGGCCAATAAAGGTTTTTTTTTGCATGTTTTATCCAAATAAATACTAATCCTGTTTACGTCTTATCCCTGCCAATCATTTTCCAAATCATCATCAATTCAATCAATTCATCAATAATTTCTCTTTGCCCTGAACAGTACCGTCACATTGCATAAATCAAGATGTTCCTTCACGCAGCTGTTTCTCTCAGCTTTCGTTTCTCAAAGTCATTTTCTTGTAAACATTGTACCGACATCCATTTTCAGCCACTATTTAAGCAACTACTTTGAATTTAGAAATCCACAGATGATTAGTAGGCACTGTGATCTCTGACCATATGATATCGCAAAACTATGAAAACCGTACCTGTACGGTTAAAATAAATTTTTTTGGGCTTTTATTCCTTTTATTTGACAGGACAGCTTGAGAAATGGGCAGAAAAGTTGGGATCACATGCAAGCAAAGAGCCACAGGCCACTGCAGCAAGGACTACCAAGGGCGCCCCACTTGTACAAAATTGATGATATTTATTCTACCAAAAAAAATTCTTGGGAATTTTGGAAATTAAGCAGTGTCCTTCACAGTTTGTACATTGCCACTGATAATTGGTAAATTCATTACAATAGAGTAATGAGAAATTTTGTCAGGTGTCAGTTAGGACACATTTTGTTCAAGGTTCCCATGGAGATTGTTGGTTTATTGCTAAGAGATTTGTCAACCTGTAACTATCACCATGCCAATTTGTTTTTATTTCTTTTAAGTGAAATTTATCATTTTCTCCAGGTGGCTGAAGTTATGCTGTAGCTCCCTGCTTCATTAAAACCTATAGTGAACCCATAGAGTAGACAGGAGCGCTCATACAACAACGTGCTGCGGTAGTGCTTGATACAGCTGCTGGTTTTTGTTATGGATACAGGCAGTCTGGTGTACATCCGAGTTTGCTTTTTGTCTGGTCTGTTTAGACCCAGAAGAAAAAGGGTTAAAATGAAAGGACCAAAGACTGCGAACAAAGAGTGGTTATCAGAGTTTGTTAAAGATGCTTCCACACAGCTGTAAAGGAACACTCAGAGATTATATAAAAAGTAAGAATAAGAATAAGAATGATGACAACTGTTAACTGTCATATGTGTGTTATATTGTAGAGGACAACAGATAGCAAGATATAAGACATGACGGCTATGTTTAAAAATTCTATATTTCCATATTTATACACACAAGAAATCTGCAGGAAACAAAAGGGAACAGAAACAGTGTGAATGTCGAGAGGGAACTGAACCAGAAGCATTGGAAACAACCTCTGTACTATCCACAGTTTCATTTACAACAGGCTGCCACAGAAATATGTATCATAGTTCATTAGTAAGCTTCTGTTATACAGATAATCACAATGAGCAAAAGATTACAAGTAAAAAAAAAAAACAAATAATAAAGACATTGATGATGATGAAATATAATTACAGCGTAATAAAAGTCTACACACCCTGCTTAAAATGCCAGGGTTTTGTGATGAAAAAAAATGAAACAAAAAAAATCATTCAGAACTTTTTCCACCTTTAAGTGTGACTCTACGTGAAACAATTCAATGAAACAAACTGAAATCCTTTTAGGTGGAAAATTAAAAAATAAAAAACTTACAATAAGCTTTGCATAAAGTGTGCACACCCTCTTATAACTGGGGATGTGCCTGTCTTCAGAATTGACCAATCACATTCAAACTTATGTTAAATAGTAGTCAGTACACACCTGCCATCATTTGGTGAAGTGACTCCGATTATCCCAGAAAAGTTAAGCTGTTCTAGTAGAACTTTCCTGACATTTTCTCAGTTGCGTCTCAAGCAATGGTCCGCAGAGAGCTTACCAAGCATCAGAGGATCTCATTGTTAAAAGGTACAGTCAGGAGAAGAGACAGAAAGAATTTGCAAGGCATGTAGATATACCATGGAACACAGTGAAGACAGTCATCGTCAAGTGGGAGAATAATATGCACAACAGTGACTTACGAGAACTGGACGCCCCTCCAAAATTGATGAAAAGACGAGAAGAAAATCTGGTAGAGGAGTCAAGAGGCCTACAGCAACATTAAAGGAGCTGCAGGAATTTCTGGCAAGTACTGGCTGTGTACTACATGTGACAACAATCTCCTGTATTCTTTATACGTTTGGGCTATGGGGTAGGGTGGCAAGACGGACATCCAAGCCCGGCTAAATTTAGCAAAAAAATACATGAAGTCTCCCAAAAGCATGTGGGAAAATGTGTTATGGTCTGATGAAACTAAGGTTGAACTTTTTGGCCATAATTCCAAAAGGTATGTTTGGCGCAAAAACAACACTGCACATCATCCAAAGAACACCATACCCACTGTGAAGCATGGTGGTGGCAGCATCATGGTTTGGGCCTGCTTTTCTTCAGCTGGAACAGGGGCCTTAATCAAGGTGGAAGGAATTATGAACAGTTCCAAATATCAGTCAATTTTGGCCGATGTGCC